CTTCGGTTGATGACTGACCTCCCATGGAGTACTCTGCAAATTTAAAATGATTAACAAATATACGTGTATGTTTGGTATGTAATACCAAACAAGATTGGACAATATAATGAGTATTATTTTAGCTATTTTTCTCTTCTTAATAGTTAATATTGTGCTATCCAATCCTCCCACCAAACATGAAAAGCAGTTTATTTCATATCGTTCAAGACCAATTATATTAATCTAGACAAGGTTTTGCAGCAAGATGGAAGAAACTTGAGTAGTCTCTAATGACAGTTGGTAAACCACTATAACATTATATGTTTACCGTCTGTTCCCGATTACTTTCGAATTTACTATTGCTCCATAACAAAGGTTTAGAGCTTTATCTGTGACTACAACAGTCTTTCCGAAATTTGTACTGTTCAAATGTAGCTTAGCGTACCTGGAGCGGCATATCCTATGGTTCCTTTGATGACAACTGAGCTAAAATCAGCCAAATTAACTTCCTCGTTCGACTTCAAAAGGAGCTTTGCCAAACCAAAATCACTAACATATGCAGAAAGAGCTTCATCCAGAAGCACGTTATTTGGCTTGAGATCACAATGAACCACAGGAATCTGACACTGGTGATGAAGATACTGCAATGCAGAAGCAACATCAATTGCAATATTCATTCTTTGACGAATATCTAAACATTTTACTCTTTCTCCATCTTCTGGATGTATCCATTTTTCCAAGCTCCCGTTTGGCATAAGTTGGTATACAATGGCTTTGAAACTATTGCCCTTAAAATCGGTACTTGAGCACACAGTTAGGACACTTACGAGGTTCCTGTGTCGGATGTTCCTCAAGGCTTTGCATTCGGCTAAAAAGCTTTTTAAAGCCCCTCTTTGTTGAAGGTTAAGAACCTTAACTGCAATGGCTATTTCACTTGGTCTGAGAATTCCTTTGTATACAGTACCTGAACTGCCTGAACCAATCATATTCTCCTGGGAGAATCCATCGGTTGCGTTCAACAGCTCCTTGTAAGTTAACTTAGGATAGATGTGTCCGAATGAAGGCCTTGAACTGCTTTTTATTCTTGATTTTTTTGAACGAAGTAAAACGAGAAGCAGTATTAGAGATAAACACAAAGGGATAATGACAATCACCAGGATCCATTTGAGACCAATTCCTTTATCCGAGGTTCTTGATTTTTCCATCAAGCAGGTGACCAGATGAAATTCTTGAATCCCACCGCAGAGTCCATTGTTTCCATTAAGTTCTACTGCACTTGCATTTTTGAACACACCTAGTATAGGTACTTCACCTTCGAGCTCATTAAATGAGAGATTCAAATACAGTAAAGAAGAAAATTTTCGCAAATATGATGGAATTTTACCCTCGAGTTTATTCTTTGATAGATCTAAATAAAGAAGTCCCATCAACTTCCCGAGGTCTGGAATGGATCCTTTGAAGAAATTTCCTTGCATATAAAGTGTTTCCAAGGACAAACATAGCCCAAGATTGCTTGGAATTTCTCCAGACAAACTGTTATAAGATACATCAAGGGCAATAAGAAACGTTAATTGTCCAACTTCCTGTGGTAATGGACCAGTTAAAAAATTGTGAGACAAATTGAGGTTTCTTGAAAGAGTGGGTTGATTGAGAACTTCAGAAGGTATGGTTCCATTTATATTATTACCAGACAAGTCTATTTCTTGGAGATTCATAAAGTTTCCTAAACTTGACGGAATGCTTCCTTCAAATCCGTTGTTTTCCAAGTGAAGATATAGTAATTGAGTAAGATTTCCAAGAGAAGATGGGATCTCCCCTGAAAAATTGTTGAAACGCAAGTAGAGGGATCTCAGGTTTCGCAGCCTTCCAATTGAAGCTGGAATATTACCTGTCAAGAAGTTTTGCCCTGCTGCAAGTGTAGACAGGCTGACAAGATTTGATATTTCTTCCGGGATGTTTCCACTAATAATGTTCTTGTGAATGTTTAGCCAACTCAATTGCGATGATAAATTGGCTAACGAACCTGTCATGTGTCCTCCGAATTGGTTGTTGCTGATATCCAGACGAGTTAACTGGCTACAGTTAGCCAACGATGCAAGAAATCTTAAATCATCATTTGATCCACTTCCCAGATTATTTGAGAATACATGAAGACGAGAGAGATTGTTCAAGTGTCCAAAACTAAATGGAATGTTTCCAGTGAAGGCATTTTGAGCAAGTTCAAGGACTTGAAGATTTGAAATGTTTGACAGGGAAACAGGGATTTCTCCAGTAAAAGCATTTCCTCCCAAGACCATTGCTTGAAGATTGGGGAATACGAGCCCTATGTCGACCCTCAGATCACCATGGAAGTTGTTTAAAGAAAGTACAACGGACTTGAGCGATGACAGGTTGTAGAGGGGACTAGGAAAAGGACCACTGAACATATTTGCTCCAACAGCAAAAAGTGTCAGATTTTCTAACTGAGAAATTTCGCCAGGAACCTCTCCCTCAAGATTGTTAAAAGTTAAATCAATCTCTTGCAACAATGTAATATTTCCTAAAGAATTTGGCAGTTTTCCTGTAAAATTGTTGCTTCCAAGATACAATTTTTCGAGCCTGGAGAGTGATCCGAATTGAATAGGAATTTGACCTGTGAAATTGTTGTTTTGAAGAACGAGAATTTCCAAATTGGAACAGTTCAACAAATTCCCTGGAATTTCCCCTTCCAAGAAATTGAAACTCAAATTCAGGTTTTGAAGCCTAAACAGTCTACCAAGTTCTGAGGGAACTCTGCCATGGAAGAAATTTTCCGCAAGATTAAGAGTCTGAAGAAAAGAGAGATTTCCCAAATGGGATGACATTTTTCCAATCAAATTCTTCTTTTCAAGATCCAGCTTAACGATTCTTTGGGATTTATGGGCACATGTAATTCCAGGCCATTTGCAGAAATGAACAGTTTCATTCCAAGAATCCAGGAATCCAGGGGATTCTTGATTCAATTGAGACTTGAATTCAGTAAGTGCAATTTTGTCTGATTCAGTCCCCAGAATTGAGACATTTTGTGAAAATATTGATTGAGGGAAAAGGATAAAGAAGGTGCAAACAGTTAGGGACAGGATTGCACAAAAATTTCTTGCCATCACCATTTTAGCAGTGACTGCATTGTTAAGAGACATTATTTGATTTCGAAAACATTACATATATATAAAAATTCGAGCGAGTCCTTTTAACAAGGTTGACCAATTTCAAGACTCATTATGGCCCAGATCTTTAAAAAAAAAAAAAGGGAAACTCAAACAGAAAATTTGATGTGTTTAAAGCTCAACCGAGAAATCACTTTTCAAGATTGGTGCTTAAACGAATAGAAATTGACATTTTAAAATGAAACTCTCAAGACACAACATGCATACTAGAGGATTTTCCACTTGGGTTCCTGTTGATTAGATCAGCAAGATTGATTAGCTCTTATATTTAAGAATTTGTCATGTTCATGGCAATAAAATAAGAAGAAAAATCTCTTATAAATAAGTTGTCCTTTTTAGTAATTTTCAATGTGACATTCCTCATAATTGATTATTTTTCTGTTGATTCAGAAAGCAACTTTCCTTGTTTATGAATTTTAGCCAATTTTCTATCAATAATTTTGAAAAAAAAATAAAAAATAAAAGAAATGTTGATCAGGTCATTTACATCTGCGCAGGACATTGGAAGAATAGTTCAACAAATCAGTGTGTGAGATAAATCTCCTGTTGATTTCAACATATTGTCAAGACATGCATGTTGTTTACAAAATGTCAAATTGACATTTTTGTCATTTTTGTTAATGAGATGTGGCATTTACATCATTAACCTGATTTATTTGGTTCAAATTGATGTTACATATATTTTCAATGATCACAAGTAGCCTTATAATAATACGTGTCTAAATCAAAATTCAATTGAAAGGACACAACTAGGATAAATTATCATAAGCACGTAAAGAAGGTGAAAAGTTCAATCAAACTTGTAAATCTTGATTTTATTAGAACAAAGTTTTCAGGATTAACAAAAAGTGGCATTGACAAAGTCTTTGAATTGCTATGTTTAGTCATATTCAATTTACCAAACATTGTATTATGAATTATAGCTATTAGACTCAGCCCAATCATTGACTCAACTAAAACGACGAATTAGTTGGTTCATTGTTCAACCAAATTATAGCTATCAGACTTGGCCCAATCATTGACTCAACTAAAACGACGAATTAGTTGGTCCATTGTTCAACCAATGAGTATTAGCAAGGTCAAAAAGTAAAAGTTATATTTATTTCTTTTTCAACAAAGTTTAGTTTAAGTTTTTAAAGTTAAAGTTGATTCTAAATTAAAATTTCATTTTATTAATTGCAATATATAAATTCTCAAATTTCCTCTCTTTAAAAATTAAATATTAGACTTATACATTTATAATATTACTTGGTCTTTCATTTTTACCTATCATTAAAATTTTGTTGGTCATATTTTTTAAAATCAAATAAATATTTAAAGTATTTTTAAAAATATAATCTATGAGTTAAGTATGAAATATATATGTTGAATTAATCTATTATATTAGAATTTGGTGCCCACCCTTTTGACACATGCAGTGTTGGCAGGTTTTCATTAGTGCAAAAAATTTAGTGTTTCTAAGACAAACGAATGACAAAATGCTATTCAGCATTCTGTCAAAGAATGTGTCAAACTGTCTGACAATGTAGCAAAACTGATATATATATATCCAATAATGGAGGTAACCATGCGAAAAGGGTGAACTCTTGCAAACTTGAAGACCTGGGTTCGAATATTTTTTGAAGGAAAAAAAAATTGCAAAAAAACCAGTTGGTTTAAACTAACTAATTCACCGGGTTTGAGCAAATCGTGGCCGGTTCAAGTGTGCCGATGGCGGTTCAATAGTGCATTGGTCCAATTATGATAAGGGACCAGACCAGGGTTCAGTTCACGGAGTTTCCAATTGGACCGGCTGGTCTGATCAAGTCTCTAAATAATCATGTTCTGAACAAAAACTAACAAAAAGAAATAATAGTAGAGCATATGATCAAAAACCAGACGTAAACCTGTAATTGAAGCATCTCAGCTATACACATTCTTCCCAGGGAGAAAGAGAACAATAAGTCTATCGTTCCTTCTCGGTGAAAAGAGAAGGCCATATACAATTACAGGTTGTAGTTTTCCAAAATGCATGATCTGAAGTTATTATTATTCAGTTTCTGCGGGTTTCGACTCGAAAGGCACTTCCAGAGGAGCAGAGGACTTATCATGTGCAGATGCACCTGCAGGGTTAGATTTTGTAAATCGCACCAAGATCATGGTCATGTTGTCACAACCCACGCCTACTGCAGTTGATGGTGCCAGACACCGGTCGAGTACTTTTTCACAGACCTTGGAAAGCTTAGGTTCCTGCATAAGTATGTTTATATGACAAACATGATTATCAACCAGGCTTCCCGATTTACGGGTCACATGTGATTCTAATTGAACACTTTAGTGAATCATAAACCTTACATAATCTAGGAGTGTTAACTAAAATCAAGCTTCTCAGAAGCCAGTTTCATATGATAAAGGAAAAGCTAAAAAACACTAACAATAAGAGTAATGTTATTTGCAATCGCTCACTACCGTAACCGCCCTACATGGCATACATGCGGCGATTTGTGTAATAGTGAGCGACTGCAAATAACATTATTCTAAAAATAATAATAATAATAATCATCTAATAGTAATTTGTCGTCCATATCAATCTGGATTTGGTACAAATATGAACTACCACGAACACATTTTGCATTTAAGTTTCAATAATGATCAACGGAAGTGGTAACTAAGGACTTACGGATTTCAGTTGCTCGTGAATAAAATCGACTAGCTGCTGGCTTGACATGCAATCCCTGGGAACCATTTGGAAAAAGAAACTTGATTTGTCAGATATATAAAGTCTTGTATCTCTACCAAGTATTTTACCTAGAATCCCCGTCCATGTCACACATATTATTATAAAAGAAACGGGGAAAGTAATTAATCCAGTAATCCACAAATATGCATGTAAGTCAGGGATGTAATGATATAGTAACCCACAAGTAAAATAGGTTGTAATACATACTAAAAGGGTCAAAAGCAAGTACCAAAAATGGAAGACGAAATAAAATCTTAAAATATCAAAATCTCCAACTTCCTGCAGTGTAGTTAGTATGCATAAATGTGAAAGTGAACAAATAAGAAAGGTAAATCCAGGAGCAATCTCTTTCAAAATCCATTATTTTCATATGCATAAACTCGATGGAAAAATCAGTAAAAAAATAACCCTATCCGTCTATGGGCACTTATCCATTAAATATGCACAACATGTTAACAGTTACCGTGAGAAGGGAAAAGAGGGTTATTAACGTCAGGTATCGGCTATTCTACGCGAGGGTGAAAGACATGTCAATGCAAATTTCTCAGTTCTGGTCAAAGCTTAATCAATGGGATTCCTAGGATTTCTACTGATTGGGGGAGATTGAAGTAGACTCAGCCTCAGATTTTAACAATACAGAAATGTTTTTGGAGAAAGATCTGAGCCCTGGAACTGTTTAGAGGAGATTACAGAACAATTCCACAGAAAAAAGTCAAACCCTACATTCAACTAGTCATTTCATCAGCCTATACAATACACCTACCAATTTTTCGTCATATGGCACAAAAACCCCTAGGATAAAGTTTCTTTCAAGATGGTTTAGCATGTTATGAGTAAATTGATTAAGTTGTTAAAAGACTCAGATATCTTTGATTAAACATGCTAGCCATAATTCACCCAAGATTTTAGCATATTCTACAGCATATAAAATTGAGGACTGCAATTAAATTGCTCTAGATATCTTATAATCGAAAGGCAAGCCAAAAATCTAGCAATATAAAGAAGCATATTAAGACTAGAAAAAACATTGTAATAATTTCAGGAAAAAGTACAAGGTCCTAACTTGAGTTGAGTCCAAGTAATAAATCATATCTTGGCTTTACCAAAAACAAATTTTACAATCTAATATCTATTGGAACAGAAAACCAGAGTTTGAAATGCACACCAGATGCCATCACAGGCAAGCACAATGAACTCATCATCATGGCAAAGTTCTACCTGTCAGAGAATTGATAGAAATAATAATGTTATTAAAAGCAAAATGTAATGATAGTCATTTTATGACATCAGAAGAGAACATATCCACATTCCTCTGATCTAATCATCCTGGGGCCAAATATCGAGATTCGATTAATCAATAATTATTTCATTTTTAACTTTCCAAAAATTAGAATGTTTGTTAAATACAAATTTACAAACAAAACAAAAAGATGCCACTAGTCTTATCATTTTAGCTATTTATATTATCCTGATAGAATCTTATATTTCAGAGATTATCAAATATATTAAATAACTAATAATGTGAAAGACTTTACCAATTATATATATATAAACATTGCCAATTTCTCTACTTACTATTTCTCAGCTACGTTAGAACAGGTGGCAAAGCAAAATGCAGTCTCTAAACGTCACTTACTTTAAAACACAGAGATTAGCTCTATAGGAAATGCCAGTCAATTCATATAAGAAATACAAAAAAGATAGATACATACAATATTTACATCTGGATTGGCAGTTACAATTTGCATTTCTGCAGGTAAATACTTGTTCTGCTTGAATTCCATGTCACCTGCATCAAATAGAAAAAATGATCAATCAAAAACTAAATTTTCTCACGTCAGATTGAGCAACTTCTCAAGTTAAGCACTAAATATGTGACACCTCATACCTCGAAATTAGTCATTTTATTAGAACTTAGGACCGTATCACGTGGACAAAATAGTTTAGGGACCTAATTGATTATTGACTAATATTTTAGGGATTAAAGTGCAAATATTTGAATCTCAAAGTGATAAAACCTCCAAGATTTTGTGATAAAGTTAAATAAATAAATTATGTTGGATATTATGATTATTTTTAAGTATTAAATATTTATCACAAATTCTATTGAATATTATGATTATCCTTAAATATTCAACTTTATTACAAATTCTGTTGAATATTATTACTTTTAAGTATTCAAATTATTTGAATAAATTATGAGACACATCCCATGCATCTTTAGAATACTAGGTGCATGACTTTCAAGAAATTTACACCTCACTACTTTCTCTTCCCTCTCACAACCTATCTTTTACAACACATATTTCACACTACAAAAATCTTTAGTACTCAAGCTGTTCAAGAAACTTTAAGAGTGAAAATAAAAAACAAGTCAATTTCTTCGATTGCTTTTATTTTTCCCCACACATCAGTAAGTATATATGTGCTGTTATCCTGCACTTTAGAAAATATTTTTATGATTATTTTTAAGTATTCAACATTATCACAAATTTTGTTGCATATTGTTATTATTTTTAAGTATTCAGCATTATCACAAATTCTATTGGATATTATGATTATCTTTAAGTATTCAACTTTATCGCAAATTCTGTTGGATATTATTATCTTTATATATTCAAATTTATTTGAATATATAATGAGACACATCCCATGCATCATCAGAATACTATAAATAGGTGCATGATTTTCAAGAAATTTACACCTCACTTCTTTCTCCTCTCTCTCATAACCTATCTTTCACACATAGACATATTTCACACTACAAAAATCTACAGTACTTACGCTGTTCAAAAAACTTTGAAGTGGAAATCAAACAAGTCAATTTCTTGTATTGTCTTTGTTTTTCCCCCACACAACAGTAAGTATATAAGTGTTCTCTGCTGCACCTTTGGAAATTATGTTTATGGGTCAATAAATATGTTCTAAGTTTCGGACTGGAGTTCCAGTAGCGCTACGCATGTAAAATTCATGCCACCTAAGTTCAGTATAGTTCTTGTATCTCTTTTATGCAAGTTCTACGATTTCGAAAGTTGTATGGAAATTTATGAACACATATATGCATATTGAGATTTTCTCGCTCTTAAGTTTTTTCCCCTTCAGGTAATTAGGCATAGGGAAGATTGAAGCTTAGTCTTGGCCATGGTGAAGGAAATAAATTAGATAGTTCTCTTGTCGAATTAAACTTCTCTTTTATGAGTATTTTTTAATAATTTTTTTTATTATTATTATTTTTTTTTTTTGTGAAAACAAATTATTATGCAAATTTTCTTAATCTGTATTCATGGAATAAACTTTAATTGTCTTCTTAAACATTCTCTTTGTTACATTTTTATGGCCCTCAGGTTTTAGGACTCGTATCACAAAATATGTCCATTTTTATTCAGATAATAGATCCATCAGATTATGGCCTCTAGCAGTGTCCAGTTAATTTGTTCCATGAATTAAGTTATACAGGGTCAATTGAGCATTTGAAGCAGGAGAAGACTAACAGATTTTCCAAAAAAAATTCAAGAAAAACAGTGCACAGGCAAGCTGGTACAGTACCAATAGCTCTTGCAAGATTGAGACTGCCATTAACACGTCCTGCATGGATAAACCCACCAGCTTCTAAAATTCTCTCTCTCTCAACCTCAAGATCAGGCTTGTGGTCTCTCGAAAGGTTGTACGCCTGCATGAGAACCACGAACAAATAGTTGGTCTCATTACAATTAATAAACAAGGAAAGTTCACCATACAAGAATATATATTTGTTGTATATTTAGAATTTCCAAATACCATAGGACAAGAAACAGAAGTTTGGCTACATCAAAACTTCCATTTTTAGGTGCACATATAATTCCCCTAAACAATCTGCACAAGAAAACAATAAAAGAATCTTGTCATACTGCAGAATACCTGACCACCCCTAGAAATTACACACCGAGAATCACCAGCATTTGCTATGACAAGTTGGTTGGCCCTCACGACTGCAATGCAAGCCGTGCTCCCAGAAGTAGGTCCAGAAAAATCAGAATGTGGGCCCTGTCAACAACACCCATAATGATTTTGGAGGGAACAAAATCATAGAAGCAATAATTATTTATCAATAACTTACTCATCATGTTGTGAAGGACAGTAAGAATTTAAAATATAATATCGTAAACTGTATAGTGATTGCTTGAATAATTCGATAGTGACAATGAATTCCCTATTTGCCAATTCAAAGGATCGTGGTTCATGGAAGTGAAATCATGCAATGTAAACATAGTCACTATTAACAAAAGAATTACAGCATAAGTATTCTATTGATGTAAGTAAACACCTCCTCAAATGCCCAATCATCAACTTGGTCGTTTTTGTCTCCGCTTCTTGGAGACCATATCAAACCCTGTATCATGCCAGTAAACTTGTTTAATTTATCTCCTAGAATGGACAACTCCCTCCACCCTCTCTGTCCACGCATCATCTCATCCATTCTACATTAAAAGGAAAAGTGCTTAAACCTTACACAAACATGGTCAATAGAAAACAAATATTACTATAAAATAGATATTCAATTTAAACAACAATCAGTTTATAGGATGAAAATAGTGTCATGTTACAGTAATCTAATTCATATTAAGGACTCATATCAAGATCTTGGTAAGAATAAGAACAGACAAATTTTATAGCAGCCAAAATGGCAAAACCCACTATTCGGGCTTCATAAACACAAATTCAATCAAATGAAGAATAAGCATATGAAGAATATCATTAATGGTGCCACTAACATCCTATAAGCAGCAATATCAGTGAGAATATAC